AATGAATGCTACTGAATCGGGTGAGGAAGAAAACACATACGATACTGTGGCTGTCCGTGGGTCTAAAAAGACCAGAGACTTTAAAGGACCATCAACGCTCTCGCATATCAAATAGGGCCTACACAAATGCCTATATAAACAATTTGTATAATTTTCCAATCTACGCTTAAGCTAATGTGTAGTTTTAGGCAAACTCTCTCCTGCCCAAACTACTGCCACCCCTAAAACTAGCCATAAAATAGGATCCGAAAAGTTCGATAAGCAAAAATTTATGGAAGAATTCAAAAAGAAGCTCACTGCCCTTCCGAGCGGGTTTACTCCAAGATCTGGAGCGGATCTGCCTCCTATATCATTGAAATTTACACATCAACCGTTTACACTGCCGCCATCATTCTTTGAAGAGGAACAAACTGCCAAGCCAACATCGCAAAAACCGCCGAAACACTCAAAATTGATGGAGATCAAGTCAGGAATGGTTCCTGATCTTCCAGTGAAAAAGCCTGCTCTTACTGAGGAAATGGAGGATAAAGTCGTAGCTACCAGTAACGAAAAGGTTGTAGTTCCTGAAGACAAGGATGTGTACACAGTGATGCCTGCAACATCATCTCAAGAGTTTGCAGCCGAAACCAAAAAAGCGGCAAGTTTTTTTAGCTTTTATTTTCGTTAAAAATAACCGATGAAAAATCGATTCTATAGATTTACTGATACATATTGATCCAAAAAATATTATAAAGTTTATTTGAAAATACCGATAAATCACAATCAAGCATGTAACAAAGTACTTTATCTGTTCTCCACTCATTATGTTTTCCAATACTCGAATCGGCCTATTTCTAGATTCAGAAAACCTTAGCCGAAATGTCCCGTCCGAAAGATTTATGCGATGAGCCTTTGAATCCAAAGCTGGAGGAGGACTGCAACAATGAAAATTGGGTGAGTACGACGGGAGCGCAGCATAAAAATTTCTGACTTCTATGTACTTCTACGGACATTTTTTCCAATTGACACATTCAAGGCTTGCAAATCCTGATTCGTAGAATAGAACATGCAAGGTTCAAGAAGTTGTAGTAAAAAAGCGCTTCTCCTACGAGTTTTCAAAGAATGGCTCTGAACCATTTTCTGGGGCAATGATGTTTAGCAAAAGACAACGACTCTACTTCTCTTCAACTCATAATTTTCTTCTTCTCTTTGGCCAATATCGAGTGTATTGTTACGATTTAGTTACGTATAAAATGTAGCGAAGCGTTTATGGTTTCGGTAATGAAAAGTCTTGTTACCATCTCTGGTGAACATGTAAATGCATGTATTCATGCTTTTTATGGTCTTATAGTTAAAGCTCTCAAGAACTTTTTACTAAATGAACTAAATTTTTCGCGCTTTGGAAGAAAATGCTCAAAAATTTGTAGAATATGGGTTGATATGGAGATAAAACAGCTTTCATCGGCTAAGTGGATACTTGCTATTCGCTTTTTACTTTATAGCCATTTTCAGGAGCTGAGATGGTTCTTCAACAAAGAGCGTGGCGCTTGCAAATCTTTTTGGTACGGTGGTTGCGAGTCTGACGCGAGGAACTTCTTTGGAGATATAAAGGTAATATTTTTATTAAGAAAGCTCCTTTCACGTCAAAGCTTATAATTTTCAGAGTTGCAAAAAGACTTGTGGCCATAAATATCCTATCAACCCGGATTCTCTTAAACCTCAGTATTTTGTGAACCCAAGGACCCTCACAAGAAATGTAGATGTCCAGCGCAATTCTTCAGAATCAGCAGAAGCACCTGAGCAAGAAAACCATGAAAATCGGACTGAGACCTCAACACCCGGAATAGCGATAAAGCCGAAAGCTACAACGGCAAAAACAACAAAAGCTGCAAAAACAAAGTCAACTTCACCTTTAAAAATAACAACAAGGAAAGTAGCAACAGCAACACCAGCACCTTCGCAGAAAACCATTACTGACTTCGAGAGAAAAGTGGACACAGCCCCAAAGTTGGAACCTATGGCTACCGAAATGACCTTTGAGATAACGAATGCTACAAAAGTAACAAAGGCAATGAAACCATCTTCAATTCTATCAGATTCGGGAAGTATGGAGGCAGATATCTGCAATCAAGGATATGACCCAAAATGGGATGAGGTTGGTGAATTTCAAATCAGTTGGAGGATTAATTGATCATTTTTGTTTAGGATTGTGCAAATGACAATTGGATTGTGCGAGCATATTACGAACCGAAAAAGAATGGTTGTAAACGGATCTGGTGGGGCGGATGTATCACAGAAAACAAGAATCTTTGGATGAACTTGGCGGTAAGTTCATCCGTATTTAGGCAAAACTGTTTTTTTTTTTGTAGGTTGAGGGAGATTGGTCATTGGAATTGGGCTAAATATTGTTTTAGTCAAAAGTTGATGAAATCTAACCCGTGCTTCAAGTTTGGAATAGGATATTGATAATATTATAAACATAACTTAGCAAAACAAAAACATGTCTCTGTCCAAATTGTTAAGGGTCCGCTGCCCCAAGAGAGATAACATGCATTTAACTCAAATATTTTCATAAATAATAATAAAAACTCCTTTCATAAGTTTTCCTAGACGGGTAGCCCTGCAAAGCTAAGCTATTTTGAAACTTAAGATGTAACATTAATAAAATAAAGTGAGATTAGATAATGTTTGAAAACTCAAAATCTTTTATTTTTCAGGAATGTCAGAAAGCTTGTGCTCACAAGATACAGACGGTGTCAGCGCCGTTCTCACCGATGTCCAGTGGGCCTACTGATCCATCGTCAATCAATGCATCCGAAATTTTCCACTCCAATATGTCAAACATAGCAGCCGATGATCCTCTAGCACATTCAGATCCACCACAAGCTCCTTTCACCGTGGTTCATCCTCGTAATGTTCATTTTCTCACTCCACTAAAGTTTTCTCGTAAACCTAACTTTCATTTACGAGTGAATGCTACGCTAACCACGAGATTATTGACTAGGCGCACAACTTTGAAAAATACACCAAAAGTCACTATAAATCGCACCACAGCTAGCCTACGTTTTTCCTTAAGCACAAGCACACGGG